AAATAAAAAGAGAATTGTCTCCCGGAATTGTTCAAATGGTAAGGGCTTTTTTGTTTATTTGCTTGCTTTTGTTTTTGTGGTACTGGGGATCAAATCCAGGTAAATGGGTGCTGCACCACTGACCTCCACCCCCAGACCAAAGCAGCTGGAAGTAAGTTGGAAAGATCATTTATCTTATGACATGATTTGTTCTTAATTGCCAAATCCTCAATGTGATAACAGTATTTGTTTTGTTTGATGTTAGAGATTGAACCCAGGTCCTCATACATGCTAAGCATGTACTCTACCACTGAGCCAGACCCTGAACCTTCTCCCTTCTTGAATTTCAAGTTTTTTATATCAGGAGTAGATCCAGACTTTGTGGGTCCTGATGTGGAGATAATATAGGGGCATTCTCTTTAATGCAAAAATACCAAATGATGAATACAAGATTAGGCCAGGCAGCTGCAGAGACCTGAAACCCATGCTTCCTTACCTTCCCAGCAAATCCAACCTGTTTGTTATCAGATTGCATCTGTTACATAAAAGCATGAGAAGCAGCTACTCTGCGTCTACCAAGCGCAGGGACTTTCTTTCATATTCACCATTGCCATGACTGCAGGATTAGGGTTTTCTTCCTTTGGTTTTTAAAGAGACATTTAAGAGCAGACACATACATCAAGGTGGCTTTAATGTGGCAAGTGCAGTTAGTCCAATGGCACAGTCCTTTCAGCCGTCTTCGCCACCCCTGCATTGCTCAGATGTAATATATTTGATCAGTGAAGTAGCTGGGAGCACCATATAATTAAATAATGGGGATCATTAATCTTGCAAGTGTTGGGAACCTGAATTTACAACTTGAACTTTGCATATCTGCTTACTTCTGCATTAAAGTTTCCTCCGTGCTGTTGAAAGATTTGCAAATGCTACTAACAGGGCTGTCTTTCATATCTTTGTCCTCCTTCAAAAACTGGGGAGGCAGGGCAGTGACCAGTGGGATCCTAACTAGTGCAGAGATGCCAGTAATAATCACACTCAGTTGGGTGCTTGTGGCTCACGCCTGTAATCCTAGCTACTCAGGAGGCTGAGATTTGAGGATCAAGGTTCAAAGCTAGCCAGGGCAGAAAAGTCCATGAGTCCATTTAAGCACCAGAAAACTGGAGGTGGAGCTATGGCTCAAAATGGTAGAGTACTAGCCTTGAGTGAAAAGGCTGAGGTACTGAGTTCAAGCCCCATTGACTGACCAAAAATAAAAAATAAATAAAATCACACCTGACTCTAGGCAGGAAGCAACCACTGTGAAGGCCTTACCATGTTTGTCTTTCTTTCTCCTCATCACCTGTTAGGAGGCAGGCTCTGGTTTGCCCTTCCTTTGTACCGAGGAGTCTGAAGTTTACCAAGGAAATGCTTTGCTTAAGACCCCAAAGATGACAGGTATTCTAGAGCGCTGCCTTCAGAATCCTTGAAGGCCAGTGCCTTTTTTTTTTTTGTCGGTCGTGGGGCTTGAACTCTGGGCCTGGGCGCTGTCCCTCAGCTCTTCAGCTCAAGGCTAGC